GGGGGGGGGGGGAAGAGAAGAGTGATTCACAGATGTAAAAGCGAAACAGACACAAAGGTGGAGAAAAGGTAAGGTGAGATGAGATGAGTACTTTGAAAGTGATCGAATATGACATACAGATGGGCCATGATAGTTTGAAATCAGAAGTCAACTGCTGGTTNATGTGAGGTAATACATATCTCTATATCCTAATTCCAACTTATGGGCTTTAATTATGTCATTTGCTCAATAGCAAATCTTTATTTTAAAAACAAATATGAGATAATGTGTTTCTCCAATCTTTTGAACGTGCTGTTGAAGGAGTGTGGGGGGGGGCATTAAATTTATTGCTATTTGAAAATTGGGGTCGAATCAAGGCGGTCATTACATCAAATGTATAAAACAAGTTTTGATAGAGCTGCTTTTCGCTTAATTGAACTGAAGTAGTTACTGATTCATTGCCATTTCTAACTTTCTGCGCTATTTGATATTGTTAAGCGATGGTCTAGTAGTCATTTATGCTGAGAGATAATTTATTTATTAATATCAAATGGTAGGCATTTTGATGGCTATCATTAGCCCTTTAGTTGACTTCAGGCTTCACAGAGGGAAGGAGGAACATCCAAGTGAACAAAAAAGTCGGGAGGAGTTGGGGGGGGGGGAGGAACAGAAGAGTGTTTCGAAGACAAAGATAGAAAAAAGTAGTTGAATTAAACATACAATGGGGGTGATGGTAGCTTGAAGTCAGAGGTCAACTACCGGTTAGTAGACTTTTTTGCCGTATGAGTTTACGTTGCCCAGGGTGTACCATGTGGAGATAAGTCTATCTCACACCCCCAATGCTGAGAGATAATGGTTTCTACGTTCTTATATGAATAGAGCTACAGCCTCGACATGACCAAATCCATTTTGCACTTCAATTAGAAGAACATTTAAAATTGTATAAATACAATTATTTCACTTTCTTTGTGCTTGTTTCTTTACCATTCATCTATCACATGGTTGCTTTAGATTATTAAATTGCTCTCTTGAGGAGGAATATATTACTTCTAAATTTTGTGTGTCCTAGGTGTCTTGGCCTCGGCCGACCATTTGCACTGGAGCTGAGTGCCTACAGTCGAACATTGGCCTCTATGCTACGGTCTCAAATTGATCATTGCGGAGATCGAGTTATTGACGGAAATGTCATTCCTGATCGAGCAAATAATCTCTCGTGGCTGGCAGATATTGTAAACAAATCTACAAATGGCAGGGTCTTTGTTAGGGATCTGCAAGTAAGTTGTCAATTTCGATTAATGCAATTGTTATGACCTAATTAAGTCCCAAAATGGCGAACTCCATCATAAGGCGGAATTTTCCTAATGGTAGATTTAACAGTGACACTTTGATGCCAACTCTTATTCCTGTTTGAACCCTGTTAAAATGGGTCTATAACTTCATTATAGTTTGGCGTTAATTTCCATCCAAGAGAAGATGTTGAAATATATTCTTTTCAGGCTTATAAGAATTTGAATGAATAGCTGAAGATAACCACACTTATTTCTTTATGTTAAGGTGGTTAGTGCTGCATCATCCAAAGCTTTTCTGAAAGATGGCGACGTGGAAAAGCGAAAGCGCTATCGAGCTCTCTGTTGGTGTCCTGATGGAGGTCTAACCACGGAAAAAATCCGTCTACTTGACACTCGTCTCCGTGAATTAACTAACCAATCCACAAACTCGGAAGGCATTCAGTCAAATTTGCAATGGCCTCCTACGGAAGCCGCATTCCAGACAGATCTTGGCGCAGAAGTTGCCTATCTCAGCTTTGGCCGATTCACCATTGAACAGCTCACACCCATCAGAGTGCTCCATCGTCGAGCACTCATGACTCGGAAAAGGGATATTATCTGGTTCAGATTGGCAGACTTCACTACTAATGTACTGAGGAGCGATGCTCCGTTTGTGGTAAGGTCCATGATGAAATGTTGCTTCTTCTTCTAAACTGGCGTCTTTCTGATTTGAAATTCATACTTTGCTAACCTCCCTCTTGGCCAGTAATGACCTGTTAAGTTCCAATCTTGCTTAGGCCAAAGGTTTCAAATACTCACCTTAGGAAAGATGGGGTAATCGTGTGGCTTCTCTCCTCCTATTAGCCATGATCTCTTATTTCACGCCAGTTAGTTAACACTGCGCCAGTAATAACTACCATGTCGTCGGGACTAGTTGTTGCTCGCCGTCGAACTCATTGATTCTGTGCTGTCATGGGAATTGACAGCTGTCTCATCGGCGGTACCTGAACTTAGACATAGCTTACAAAATATGTCTTTGTTATTGATACCAAGGGAGGCAGTTGTAAGTCGTTTTGGTTTTTTATTAGAACGGTTGAAGACTAATCGATCAAAATAACGCGGTATTTTTTATGATCTAACTCCCAGTACAATGATGTAGGTTTTTTAATTGCAAACCCGCTGTGCTAGCTTTTCTTGCAAGTCTTTGTTTGCTTAGACAACTCTTTGCTATAAGAGGTGATGGGTTTGGTGTTGAGCAACAATTCGTTTCTTAATAGTTCAAAGGATAAAGACGCCTATTTCCAACAATAAGTATTAAAAGCATTACCCTTGTGACTTAGCTTATTGATATTATAATAGAAAACGTAATTTTGATGTTTATGTTCTACTTTAGTGGTTGCCTGGGAACGCGGTCCTTTTATTGTCGGTTTATTCTGGTTATTGTTGCTGTGTGGCACGAGAGAGGGAGAGGGGGGGAGAGAGTGAGCATTAATTAATTTTTTTATTTTATAGAGAAAGATGTAAAGCGCGGAGAGTTTTGTTTTTATTTAGTAATATATTTAGAAGGGTCTTACTGGTTTAAGTGGTTCTTTTTTATCTCTATAGAGCATGAGCTCGAAAGGTGAGCATTCTACTTTTAAATTGTGTATATTAGGTCGCATTGCCCCCTTGGATTTGTCTCTGAAATCTGAATGAAGGGAGGCTGTGTGATGATTGGTTTCGAATCAGGTAAGCAGTTTCAGATCCACCTTTTTCCCACTTTGTCTCTCAAGATTTATCGCCTATGATTGAATTGCCATTTTGGGAATCTCCTGGGTGGTTAAGAAAAAGAATTAAGTCTCCATGCATGGTTTTTCCTGTTTCTTCTATATAAATTTCATTTTTTGTAGCTACGGGAGTTCGCTTCTCAGGCTAGTGTCTATCCGAAGGAAGAACTCTTCCTCCTGGAGCTATGTTGCGATGCGGGTACTTACGTCAAGGAGTTGGTTCACGGGGACCTCGGTCGAACACAACCAAGTCTTTCCTCTCTGATTGGCTCTCAGCTTGACCTCATTTCTCTGGATGTAATTGCTGTGGAACAGGATTGGCCCCCTAGAATCGAAAATGCCCTTGTAAAAACGAAAACTTAAGGAAACCTCTTTTTTTCTTATATAACTTCGTTGGAAATTTATAAGGTGTATATTTAAGTAATAAATTATTTTGTGTGGATTGATACTGCAAAGTTCTGTATTTTGGTTGAACATACTTGTTTGATTTAGTAAATATAACAGTTATGACTGTTAATGTTTATTATAGTCTTGATATTCAAACCTTTAACACACTTAGGACCGTTCTGTCCACTTTCAAAATCAGCTCCATTGCTATTAGACTCGTAACAGAGGGCACTGTTGGCCACCAAAACTCATCAGGTCGGCAACAGTCTGCTATGAGACACATGTGAGTGTGGCTGGGTGCATTTTTCAAGAAATATCTATCAAATGGCTGGCTTTATGATAGTTATAATCGGCTCTTTAGTTGACTTCGGGTTTCACAGAGGGGAGAACCCTAAAGGACACAAAATGGTTGAGTGAGGAACAGTAGGGTGATTCACAAATGTTAAAGAGACAGACATATAGGCAGGGAAATAGGCAAGGTGAGTACTATGGAAGTGGTCGAATATGACGTACAGTGGGATCATGGCAGTTTGAAGTCAACTGTTGGTTCATTGACCTTTTGCCGTATGAGTATACGTTGCCTAGGGTGTACCACATGGAGATAAGTCCATCACACATTCCACTTTTTCGAAAAAAATAATTGGGTGTTAAAGGGTTAAAGCATTAAATATCAATTATGCACTGTCGTTGGTGTCTCTATGATGATTGATTCCCGTGTGAGCATCAATGTGTAGCTCGACTGACTGTAATGGAACATTGTTGGGCAGCTTATTGTTCAGGATAGCCGTTAATCAACATCTGCTATTTACAAGGATTGTATTTATAAATTTTTTAGACGATGGGACAGGAAACAGTATAATATTTCCAGTCTTTTACCATTTTTAAGCATTTTATGCTTAACAGATAACCACGGTGTTGATCAACGATTTTGAGTTTTCCACAGTCTAGTCCAAAGAAAGATGGGTGATTTATTTGTCCGTATATAGAATATTTTGATCAAATCAACTATTGATTAGCTTCTATTAACGGATCTGAACATGCATCCTTCGATTTAGTAGCATTAGTTTACCAGAATTCACTTTGTAGGTCTACCCGAGTTAGCACATAGAAGCTCAAATGTTCCATAGCTCACAGCTTGATTTCGTTACCTAACACCACTGAAATAGGAGGAGCAAATTGTGGCAAATAAGTCATCTTGTTATTTCGATTTTTTCGATCTAGATTGAAAATTAAAATTTCCATTCAGCAATACATTCTTTCAATATTGTTGAATTTGTATCAACGACATATTTTCTGTCTGAACAAGCGGAAAAAATTATAAATTGGCTAATTTTATAAAACTTATAGGAAGAGACATACCGATATTATTTGGTCATCACAATGTAAAAAGCCTCTTTGCGTGACCTATCCAATGGCGCGTTAATTGGACCCGTAGACTCGCGTGTGGATTAACTATGTGTGAGGTTCTAAATCTTATCATATTATTTAATGAAAATCATTCATAAATAAGTGTCTTATTTAACCTCCTTCAAAGCCTTTTATTGGTAGCTTCTGCATAAGTTATAAAGCTAAAATTGACCGCTTTTGCTGCTTAGTTCTTGAATCATTTAAACCATGCTGAAGTAATGAATTTACCTACCAACGGCATACCTTTATATATATTAGCGACTGCTGCCTAGTCTTTTATATAAAATTTTAATTTCGCTTTTCAGCTCTCACATTATCTATTGCCCGAGCAGTTTCTAGACGATTACTTGCCAATCAATCCTACATTGTTATCCGGTGTGCATCAACCCCGCGGAGAACTTATTTTTCTCAACCTTCTACTCTTTCAAGATTTTTCGCTTCTGAAGCTGCCTCTTCAAAACCCGATCTGAAAGTCAAACGATTTGAAGCCGATACTCACAAGTTGTTGGATATCGTAGCAAAGTCTCTTTACTCCGACAAAGAGGTATTTGCATAATCTTAATACTTGCTATTTTGAAATTTTTTAATTCATCTTATTTTTTCTGTTTTGACTGGACATTTAAGGTTCCATCTTTACGAATCTGAGGGTTTGCACATTTTAAGTTCATTATAACTTTTAACCACTAAAGCTAATTTTTTATAAATCAATATCATAACTGCTGTCAATTGAGTTTTTTACGGATCTTTATGTTTTCACTATTCATTGATTGCTGAGATGCTTGTATTTTTCTTAATCATTTAAGTTGTTTTCACTAGAAATTATCAGGATCGAATATCTTCGTATATACTCTTTTTAGAATTTCCGTACTTATTAAAGTATATAGTTTACACTTATTCACTGATTTATTGATGGTACTTTTTACTTATAGGTATTCATTAGAGAGCTCATTTCAAATGCCAGTGATGCTGTTGAACGTTTGCGTTTTTTGCAAACCTCTGGTGGTGTCAAGGGTTCTGATTCACCTCTTGAAATTCACATAACAACCGATGAAGCAGCGCACACTCTGACAATCAGTGATAATGGCATTGGTATGACCGCTGAGGAAATGGAGAAAAATCTCGGAACAATCGCCAAATCCGGTTCGAAAGAATATGTTGCCCAGTTGAAACAGAACAACATCTCCGGTCAAGATTCATCTAATATCATTGGCCAATTTGGTGTTGGTTTTTATGCCGCATTCATGGTAGCTGATAAGGTAAATCATTTTTCATACATTTTTCTTCATTGTTTAGACTGAGCAATAGTCGAATTTGATTCCTTTTTATTCGAGGTTGAAGTTCAATCTGTAAGCCAAGTTGATGGGAGTGATCGCAAGGGGCATCGTTGGGTTTCTACTGGGTCGGATGGAACATATTCCATTTCAGAATGCCCAGAAGCAACTCCTGGAACTAAAATAATCCTCCATTTGCGGTCTAATTCAACCGAGTTCGCTAAATATTCAACTGTTGAAGCTATCATTCGCAAATATAGCAATTTCATTGGTGTGCCCGTTTTCCTCAACGAGAAACAGATTAATGTGGTTGATCCCGTTTGGACGAAGGATCCTGCCAAGGTTAGTTTCACTAAAGAATCCCACCTTATCCTCATCATCATAGGTGACTGAAGAAGAATACAAGGCTTTCTTCCAATTCATCTCTGGTAACAAGTACGATCACCCGAGGTATAGGATCACGTTCAATACTGACTCTCCCATCAACATTCGGGCCCTCTTGTTCATACCGACAAATAAACCGAGTATATTTGACATGGCTAAGGAGGGTGATACTTCATTGTCTCTTTACAGTCGAAAAGTGAGTCGTGCTTTGTTGTAAACAATTATTTTCCCAGATCCTTATTATGAGCAGGGCTAATCGACTCCTTCCAAGGTGGTTGCGTTTTGTTCATGGAATTGTGGATAGTGAGGATATTCCGCTCAATTTGAGTCGTGAATTGCTACAGGATCATGGTCTGATAAAGAAGATTAATCGTATTCTTACGTCTCGTGTACTTCGTTATCTCGAGGTAAGTAATCTTCCTCTTTTGCGCATTTCTACTTATGATAATATAAGTAACAATAATATATTCCATTTCATTTTATAGAATGAGGCCAAACGCAACCCAACAGACTTCTCCGTTTTCTTGAATGACTATGGCCTCTACTTGAAAGAGGGTATTGTGACTGAACCCGATCAATCTTCTCGAGAGGAAATTGCCAAGCTTCTTCGTTTCGAAAGTTCTAAATTCCCCGAAGGCGAAATGACGAGTTTCGATGAGTATGCTTCGAGAATGCGTGCTGGCGAAAGAAATATCTACTTCTTGTCTGCTCCTAATCGAGAACTTGCTGAAAAGTCGCCTTACTTTGAGGCTCTAAAGGAGAAACACGATGATATTGAAGTTTGTTTCAAGTTAATGACGTATATAGGTGTCTTTACTGGAATGTCTGATTTTCGTCTTGTTTTTTAGGTTCTCTTTCTGTATGAGCCTTACGATGAATTGGTGCTGATGAATTTGGGTCAATACGATCGAAAAAATCTGTGTTCTCTTGAAAAGTATCTTGCAGATGATGCTTCGGACACTGATAGTGTTGGGAAATCGGAAGGTGATCGTATTACTCAAGACCAGGCTAATAAACTCTCACAATGGGCTGAGAAAACTCTGGGCCAAAAGGTCAAGAAAGTGAAGGTTAGTCATTAATCTTTCTAGCGCATGGTGTATGAATTTGCTGAAATTTTGTAAAGGTTTTTCCCAGAAAGCTTCATTGATCTTATTGTTAACTTAATTAAATGTGGGCGTATTTCTACGTAATAATGCCAACACGTCATTCTCACGTTAATGCCTTACTATTATTGCCATTCCTCTTTACTGCTTTCCTTCTAAACTCGTCGTCAAGTAATGCTCACCAGGATGATGTGTTGCTTAACCTAAGTCACACTATTGTGCTTTGTTTATCCCAAAACAGGGCCAATGACGCAACTCTATTTTTGCTTCTATCAAATCTAATAAAGCATTTAATGGCAATTATTTCCTGATATAATGGTGAGATAGTTACGTTTTCTATTTGTGCTTTATTTATTAATATCAAATGGAAGGCTTTATGATAGTTATCAGTAGCCCTTTAACTGACTTCGGGCTTCACAGAGGGGAGGAACATCAAAGTGGGAAAAATTCAACGTTGTAAAAGAGATAGATAGACACAAAGGCAGAGAAAAGGTAAGGTGAGTACTGTAAAAGTGGTTGAATATGACATACAATGTGGTCATTGCAGTTTGAAGTGAGAAGTCAACTACCGGTTTATAGACTTTTTTGCCGTATAAGTATAGGTTGCCCAGAGTGCATCACTTATACTTTATTAAATACTGAGATTAGGTTTATTATACAGGTGTCTAATAATCTGTCCCTAATGTGTTAGCTTGAATTTTAGCTTATGCATGTTGTTGTCCATTCTCATCCAGCTGTTCTTTGTGTGCAGATTGTCTGCTAGAGGTCTCTTACATCTGAACACGTTTCTAAAAATATCCTCGAGGCAAATTGTCGTTGACGTTCGAAGACGCTAATCGCTGGGTTTAAACTAACCTTTATAACATGGCTGTCGTGGGATAAATTTACCCCTTACCTTTCTATCTATGCACCAATGCTATTTAATAGCTTCTTTTATGACAAACACCAACGACTTTTGATTTTGTCCAGTTATGAAGCCAATAGGAAAGCCTACTTTACTTTGAATAACGCTTTTATATCCTACAAATTTCAGCAGACTAATATTTGGTGGAATGTGTCAATTCACTTTGTGTGAGCTCCTTTTTTTGCGGTTTAATTTTAGTTACCGCATAAATTGCCTCATTCGAGGAGACGGTAGAATTCATTAACCATAAGTTGACAGCAAGTTGACTTGGACACATTTAGTCTCTAGAAGTAACACCGATGTAATTAATGGGTCTTGTCGGTATCAATATAGGAGTTCAGCAGTTGAGTCTTTATTATTTTAAAGGGGGGTTTTCAATTTTATGCCAATTCTTATTTTTGCCAAATGCATTTCATCGAATATAACTTTTTTTCTCAATTGAAAAGGCATTACACTTTAAGGCTCTTCCATAACCTTATATTAATTAAAGCTTGAAATTTTAGTTGATGAAAACCTTCTAAATAAATACCGACTTCATTCAAATGCTTGAAGCGATTTGGCATAATCTTTTAGAAATCGGAAGATTTGACTCAAGTTCAATGATTTATTGTGTTATTAGACGCTTCATGTTTATTTTTGTTCATTATAGGTAACTCAACGCCTGGCACAGCATCCCTGCTGCGTTCAAGTTGCTGAGGCTGGTGCCATGCGTCACTTGCTGCGCACCTCCCTGATGGGTCGTCCATCTTCCGAGAAGTACCTTGTGATGCAACCCACTCTGGAGTTGAATCCTTCTCACCAACTCATTCGCTTTCTCTCCCAACTTGTCTCTTCGGAAGGACCCAATCAAGCGCAGGATGATATTCTTGCCACTGCGCTAATCAATTACCTCCTGGATGCTGGTATGGCTCACGCTGGTCTACTGGATGAAAACCGCGAGATGGTATCTCGAAGTTCTCAACTTCTTACTCTGCTCTCGGAACGGATTGTGGCTGGTGATAAAAAATCGGAGCAGGAATAAAGGGGATCCAAATCAATCAATATTTTATATAGCTTATTTGATATTCGTGATGTCGAGGTCTTTTAGTATATTCGTTGTCGCATCTGTAACGAATAAATATACAGTCATTATATGACATTAGCTTCGTTGTCTATTTTGGTTCGATCTAATTTTGGGAGCTAATCTAAACTGCTACTGTAGTTTCCCACTGTGCTAATGTTATGTGGACCTAACAGGTTGGGCATGAAAGAAACCGAATTAGAGAAAATCAATGAAGGACCACATGAAGCAATGTGCTCGGCTGAGCTGAAATTTTTCGGTCGAGGTTCCAATCAAAATCCTTTTATCAAGATTATGTTTTGTCACAAATTAAATGGACAATGTGTAGTTCTTTTGATTCATTAATAGGCGCAATTTGGGATTGTACATAAGGTTATACTTGATCTAATGTCAATCATAGCGCTAGGCTTCGCATCTTCACATATATCAAAAAAGTGGACAATAAATGGGAAACAACTCTCTCCATAAGCCAATTGAGCACGAAACTGATTATTTTATTGGACGAAAACATTAGCAGCGAATGGTGGAATTGGAAATGCGAGATTAGAACGCCGTGTTGCTCTGCGTAGATGATTGAACAGTCGATTTTCAATATACTCAATCAACAGTTCAGATATGAATCTCGATGTCTTT